TCGTGCCAGTTGGGCGCGGCGAAGCCGTGCGCCGAGAGGTGCTCCTTTGCCCTGCTGGCTTGTTGTAAGCACCCGGGAGCGGCCGGCAGCGGGCCCCGGTCCAGCTCGCTCAGTGCAGCGCAGATCTGGTTTGTGAGCTCGGGGCAGCGTTCGCGGAGCATCTGCGCGCAGTCTGCCCAGGAAGCCCACCAGGCCGCCGGCGCCGTCCTGGACGCGCTTCGCAGGCCGAGCCCCCCCATGCAAAGCGGCAGTTGGCAGCGTTGGCGCGCTGACGTGCCTTCTGCGACAGCTTCTTGCGGGAGTTCCAGCAAGTCGGCGAGCGCGTTGGCCAGGTTGTCGTCGTGCGCTGCGGCGAAGGCGGCCGTGTCCTCGGGAGCCAGCGCCCTCAGGAAGAAGTTGGCCCGGGGGTTGGCGCACATGCTGAGCAGGAGCCACGAGGATTGCAGGTCCCCGACGTGTGGTATCCTCGCGAGCAAGCGGCGGTGTTCTTCCAGGATGGCCTCCAGGTGTTGGGCGACGAAAGCTCCGTGGCCTATCGGGGCCCCCAGAACGACCAAGCCCTGGGCTTCCGGCGGTGTGTCTGCTCCTCCTACCCACGCCCGGTCTGCTGCTGAGCCCAGCTCTCGGATGCCAAGTGGCTCCTGCCCTCCCCTGTTCCAGACTCGCGTCTTCCCCATGTTCACGCTGATGCCGCGGTGCGCTTGGAGGGCGCCCCGCACGGCGTTGAAGAGGAACCTCGCTCTGTCTGGCGTGGTGACCAAGTACACGTCGTCAAGGAACGTATGCCTTGGACCTGTTGCAGGGCGGGGTGTTGTCCCAAGGCAAACAGGGCTGGCATGAGCGGGTCTCCTTGCTCTCCTCCTTCCGCCTGGTCGATCGCGTGCCCTTGTCCCGCGTCGTCGTGCCACCAGTACTGCGATCTTTCTCCGTAGAAGAGGCGGCTCAAGGCTCAAGGTGGCTCAAGGCTCAAGGCTGGGGGACGGGCGGCTTGGCTGTTCTCGAGTGCGGTGGGGCCGCATCGAGGGACATGTCGGGCGTGGGAGCCTGTCGCCCTGCCGCGGTCGCCCTGACGGAGCTGGAGAGACACGCGGGGCGCGGGCTGACTTCCGTCGAGACCCTGCGCGCGGAGTCGAAGCGGCTGCGGGCGGGCACGGAGGCCCTGCTGGACAGGATCGAGGCTAGCTTCAGGACGTCCCGCGCCGCGGCCTCGTCCCCGCTGGAGGCGCGCCCGGGGCGCGCTCGAGGGCGCCGGCAGGAGATCGCGCAGCGGTCAGGGCCAGCGCTGCAGCTGACCAGCGCCTTTGGATCTGGGAAGCGCGGCGAGTGCCTCTGCTGCCCGGCGGGGTCGCCCAGCGCCGCACGACACCTGGCATCTCGCCCGCCGCCAGAGCGTAGAGGAAACCAGGAGGAGGCGGTCAGGAGCAGCGAGAAGAGGAGGAGGGGGATGAGGAGGCGGCCGAAAGGCGGCATAGAGCACGAGGAGGAAGCTGAGGACGAGGCTGAGGAGGAGGCCGAGGACGAGGAGGCCGATGAGGCGGCTGAGGAGAAGGAGGTGGAGCGTGCCGCACGACCTGCCCGGTTCCGCCCAAGGTGCCGGTTCGTCTGGGCCGCGGTGCTTTGGGCCGCCTGCGCGGTGCCGGCGCCAGATGTCCTGCCCCTCAGGCCCTCGTCGCCGAGTGGTACTCCCAGGACTGGCAGTACCGCGGCAGAGAGCAGCACGACATGGACGTCCACCGATTTTGTGCGCGGGATTGCGCACGACGCTTGTGGGCAGCACGACAGAGACCAGCAGGACGACTTTGACACCCATGAGGGGGACGGGTATTCGGACGAGCGCCATCCGTCCGACCAGCACGACGGCGACATGCAGCAGGCCGACTGGCGGCGCGATGGGGCCCGACAGCACAGCTTCGACACCCACGACTGGGGCGACCAGTGCGGCATGCAGAAGGCCCCGTTGCAACAGTTCAGGGGCCAGCACCACGACTTTGACGCCCACGAGGAGGACGAGGATGAGTCCCGCGCGACCGAGGGCCACGATGGCGACCTGCAGCAGATCGACGGGCAGCACGACGGGGAGCTACAGCACTTCCAGGACATCCACGACTGGGACAATCATGATATCAGCGCCTGCGCATACGCCGGCAGCAACGCCATCGCCCACGCCAGCACTGACGCCAGCACCAACGCCGGCGCCTACGCCGGCACCAACGCCAGCGCACACACCAGCACCGACTCCAGCTGCATCGCAGGGCTCCCTCAAGGGAGAAATCACCACGGGGAAGATGTAGATAACCGATTCGGACAGGTCGGCCCGCCTGGTGAAAGGGGCGCCCTCGCTGGTGGAGAGGGGCCTTCGCGTTCGGCATCCCAGGGCGGTCGGACGGGATCCGAGCCGACCCAGTTGTTTCAACAGATGTCAGAACAGGTCGGCCCGCCTGGTGAAAGGGGCGCCCTCGTTGGTGGAGAGGGGCCTTCGTCTTCGGCATCCCAGGGCGGTCGGACGGGATCCGAGCCGACCCAGTTGCTTCAACAACGTCCCTCGTCGCCACGGCCGGATTTGCCTCGGGATTCTGATGGGGCCAACCCCGCACAAGACGTCCGCGACGACGGAGTCGAGCAGTACGTCGGCAACCAGCCCTACGGAACCAAGCTCTACTTTGGCGGTTGCCACGACGGAGGCGAGCAGCGTGTCGGTGGGGGGCCAGCGCCGAGTCCAGTGACGACGCCAGCTACGACTCCAGTTCTGGCAGCATCGACGCCAGCTACGACGCCAGCACCGACGCCAGCCACGACGCCAGTTACGACGCCAGCGCCGACACCAGCCACGACGCCAGCTACGACTCCAGCTCTGGCGCCACCGACGCCAGCTATGGCGCCAGCACCGGCGCCGGCTCTGGAGCCTCCGCCAGCGCCGATTCCATCTACGACGCCAGCTACGACGCCAGCGCCGACTTCGAATACAACGCCGGCTACGACCCTAGCTCCGGTGGCGCCGACGCCAGCTACGATGAAAGCGGGGACCCCTGCGCCTACGCCTGCACCAACGCCGGCGCCTACGCTGGCATCGACCGCAGCGCCTGCAGCAACACCGACGCCAACACCAACGTCCGCGCTTATGCCGGCTCCAACGCCAACGCCTGCACCAGCACCGACGCCAGCACCAACGACAGCGCTGACGCTGGCACCAACGTGGGCGCCTTCACCAGCATCGACGCCAGCACCGACGCCAGCGCCTACGATGGCACCGTCGTCAGCGCCTACTCCAGCACCGACGCCAGCACCGTGGCCAGCTCTCAAGCCAGCGCCTACACCAGCACCAACGCTGGCGCCGCCACCATCATTGACGCCAGCACCAACGCCAGCGCCGTCGCCAGCACTGACGCCAGCGCCCACACCAGCACCGACGCCAGCACCGACGCCGGCGCCGACGCCAGCACGAACCCCAGCGCCCACGCCTGCACCAACGCCAGTGCCTACGACGGCACCAACGCCAGCGCCTGCAGCAGCACCGACGCCAGCACCTGCGCTGGCACCAACGCTGGCGCCAACACCAGCACCGACACCGGCACCAATGTCCGCGCCTACGCCGGCACCAACTCCAGCGCCTGCACCAGCACCGACGCCAGCACCGACGCCAGGACCGACGTTGGCGCCTACACTGGCACCAACGTTGGCGCCCGCAACAGTGCCGACGCTATCGCCAACGTCCGCGCCGACGCTGGTTTTGCAGGCACCGTCGCCAGCGCTTACACCATCGATGAAACCTTCACCGACGCCAGTTCTCACATCAGGGCCTGCACAGGCACCAAAGCCAGTGACTGCATCAGCGCCGACGCCAGCACCAACGCCTGCGCCTACGCAAGCACCAACGCCAGCATCTGTACTAGCACCGACTGCGGCACCGATGTCAGCACCGACGCCATCGCCTGCGCCCGCACCAACGCCAGCGCCATCACTGTGCCCAGCTCTCACGCCTGCGCCTTCCCCAGCACTGACGCCAGCACCAACGCCAGCTCCGACGCCAGCACCAACGCCGGCGTCTACACTAGAACTGAGTCCAGCACCGTCGCCAGCACCAACGCCAGCACCGACCCCAGCGCCTACGCATGCGCCAACGCCAACGCCTACGCTGGCACCAACGCTGGCGCCTACATCAGCACCGACGCCAGCACCGACGCGGTTCAAGCGAGGAGCAAGGCTCAAGAGGAGGAACACGCGGTTGCACTTGAACGGCGTTTTATTCCTCAAAAAAGCACCGACGCCAGCGCCTACGACAGCATCGTCGTCAGCGCCCACACCAGCGCCGACGCCAGCACCGTGGCCAGCCCTCACGCCGGCGCCGGCACCAGCAGCAAAGCCACCGTTTTCCCTAGCACTGGCGCCAGCACCAACGCCAGCGCCTACGCTGGCACCAACGCGAGCGCCTACAGCAGCACCGGCGCCAACACCGACGCCAGCGCCTACGCTGGCACCAAGGCGGGCGCCTACACCAGCACCGACGCCAGCACTAACGTCCGCGCCTACGCTGGCACCGTCGTCAGCGCCTACACCAGAACCGACGCCATCACTGTGGCCAGCTCTCATGCCTGCGCCTGCCCCAGCACTGACGCCAGCACCAACGCCGGCTCCGACGCCAGCACCAACGCTGGCGCCAGCGGCGACGCCAGCTACAACGCCAGCGCCGACACCAGCCACGATGCCAGCTATGACGCCAGCTCCGGCAGCACCGACGCCAGCTACGGCGCCAGCGCCGGCGCCAGCTCTAGAGCCTCCGCCAGCGCCGCCTCCAGCTACGACGCCAGCGCCGACTCCAGCTACGACGCCAGCTACGATTCCAACTCGGGCGGCACTGACGCCAGCTACGACGCCAGCGCCGACTCCAATTACGACGCCAGCTACAACGCCAGCGCCGAATCCAGCTACGACGCCAGCGCCGACTCCAGCGCCGAAGACTGCCCCGACGCCAGCTACGAGTCCAGCTCTGACAGCACCGACGCCAGCTACTACGCCAGTGCCTGCGCCAGCTTCAGAGCCTCCGCCAGCTCCCAAGCTAGCTTCGACGGCAGCTCGGACCGCCCCGGCGCCAGCCACGACTCCAGCTCTGACGGCACCGACGCTGGCACCGTGGCCAGCTCGCACGGCGGCGCCTGCACCGGCGCCAACGCCAGCGCCTCCACCAGCATTGACGCCGGCACCAACGCCTGCGCCTACGCCATCACCAACGCTAGCGTCTACACCAGCACCGACGCCAGCACCGACGCCGGCACCGACGCCAGCACCGACCCCAGCGCCTACGCCGGCACCAACGCCAACGTCCACGCCGGCACCAACGCAATCGCCTGCAGCAGCACCGAAACCAGCACTGACGAAAGCACCTTCGCCAGCGCCTACGTTAGCACCAACGCTGGCGCCTACACCAGCACCGACGCCAGCACCGACGCCAACGCCTACGCCGGATCCGTCGTCAGCGCCTGCACCAGCACCGACGCCAGCACCGTGGCCAGATCTCACGCGGGCGCCTGCGCCGGCACCAACGCCAGCTCCTCCATTGGGACTGACGCCAGCACCAACGCCTGCGCCTGCGCCAGCACCGAAGCCAGCATCTACGTCAGCACCGATGCTGGCACCGACGCCAGCACCGACCTCAGCGCCTACGCCTGTACCAACGCCAGCGCCTACGCCGGCACCAACGCAAGCGCCTGCAGCAGCACCGACGCCAGCACCGACGACGCCAGCACCGACGCCAGCGCCAACGCTGGCACCAATGCTGGTGCCTACACCAGTATCGGCGCCAGCACCAACGTCCGCGCATGCGCTGGCACCGTCGCCAGCGCCTGCACCGGCACCGATGCCAGCACCAACGCCAGCACCGACATCGGCGCCTTCACTGGCACCAATGTTGGCGCCCGCACCAGTGCCGACGCTAACGCCAACGTCCGCGCCTACGCCGCCTACGCTGGTACCGTCGCCAGCGCTTACACTAACAATGACACCATCACCGACGCCAGCTCTCACACCAGCGCCTGCACGGGCAACAACGCCAGCGCCTGCACCAGCACCAACGCCAGCACCAACGCCGGCGCCTACTCCATCACCAACGCCGGCGTCTACGCCAGCACCGACGCCGGCACCGACGCCAACACCGACCCCAGCGCCTACGCCGGCGCCAATGCCAACGCCTACACCAACACCGACGCCAGCACCGACGCTGGCGCCTACGCTGGCACCAACAGCGCTTACTCCACCGCTGACGCCAGCACCAGCGCCAGTGCCGACACCAGCGCCAACGCTGGCGTCCACACCGGCACCGACGCCAGCTCCAAAGCCTGCGCCCACGCTGGCACCAACGCCAGCTCCTCCACTGGGACTGACGCCAGCACCAACGCCTGCGCCTGCGCCTGCGCCAGCACCGAAGCCAGCATCTACGCCAGCACCGTCGCCGGCACCGACGTCAGCACCGACCTCAGCGCCTACGCCTGTACCAACGCCAGCGCCTACGCCGGCACCAACGCAAACGCCTTCAGCGGCACCGACGCCAACGCCGATTCCAGCGCCTCCGCTGGCACCAACGCGGGCGCCTACACCAGCACCGACTCCAGCACCGACGCCAGCGCCTACGCCGGCACCGTCGTCAGCACCTACACCAGAATCGACGCCAGCACTGTGGCCAGCTCTCACGCCGGCGCCTGCACTGGCACCAACACCCGCGCCTCCACCAGCATTGACGCCAGCACCAACGCCTGCGCCTACGCCAGCACCAACGCCAGCGTCTACTCCAGCACCGACTCCAGCACCGACGCCAGCACCGCTTCCTACGCCAGCACCGACGCCAGCGACCCCAGCGCCCACGCCAGCACCAACGCCAACGTCCACGCCGGCACCAGTGCAAGCGCCGGCAGCGGCACTGCCGCCGGCATCGACGCCAGCACCGTCGCCAGCGCCTACGCCGGCACCAAGGCTGGCGCCCACACCGACACCGACGCCAGCGCCTACGCCAGCACCAACGCCAGCACCGGCACCGACGCCCACGCCAGCGCCTGCAGCAGCACCGTCGCCAACGCCTATGCCTACGCTGGCACCCAGGCATGGGCCTACGCCAGCACCGACGCCAGCACCCGCGCCTGCGCCTGGGCCGACACCTGCGCCAGCGCGTATGCCAGCTCATAGGCCAGCAATGTCGTGGGCACCTACACCGGCACCAACGCCATCGCTTACATCGGCACCGACGCCAGCGCCTACGCTGGTCTCAACGCCGGCGTCGAAGCCAGCGTCGACGCCTGCACCAACGACGGCAACAACGCCGGCGCCTAGACCAGCACCGTCGCCAGCTCCAACGCCTGTGCCGGCATCAACGCCAGCGCATGCGATGGCATCGACTCCAGCACCATCGCCTGCACCTACGCCGGCTCCAACGCCAGCGCCTACACCGTCGACGCCAGAACTAACGCCAGTTCCAACGCCTGCGCCTACGCCAACGCCCTCATCGGCGCCGACTTCAGCACCAGCTCCTGCGCCTAAGCCGGCACCAACGTCAGCGCCTGCACCAGCGCTGTCGCCATCACCGACGCCAGCTCCGACATTGGCGCCCACTCCGGCGCCGACGCCAACACCTACAGCAGCACCGTCTCCAGCACCAACGCCTGCGCCTACGCCGGCACCAACGCCGACGCCCACAGCAGCCCCGACGCCATCACCGACGCCAGCACCAAAGAAGGCGCCTTGGCCAGCACCAACGCCAACGCCTACTCAGGCACCAACACTTGCGCGTACACCAGCACCGACTCCAGGACCAAGGCTTACGCCGACGCCAGCGCCTACCATGGCGCCTGCACCAGCAACGACGTCAGAACCAACGCCTGCGCCTACGCCAGCACGAACACCGTCGCCAACACCGACGTCAGCACCAACGCCAGCGCCTACGCCAGCACGAACACCGTCGCCAACTCCGACGTCAGCACCAACGCCAGCGCCTACGCCAGCACCAACGCCAGCGCCATCTCGAGCACTGGCGCCTGCGCCAATCTTGGCGCCTACGCCAGCACCACCGCCAGCGACTTCCCCATCGACGTCAGCACCGACGTCAACATTCACGCCGGCGCCTACGCTGCCACCAATGCCATCGCCTACACCAGCACTGACGCCAGCATCAACTTCTGGGCCTGCGCTGTCACCGACGCCAGCGCCCATGCCAGCACCACCGCCAGCGACTTCCCCATCGACGTCAGCACCGATGTCGATATTCACGCCTGCGCCCACGCTGCCATCAGTACCATCGGACGGCGTCGGAGCCTGCCTGCCTTCACGCCTGGGGCCTGCCCGCCGTTCGCCTGCGCCGCACGCCTCGGACGGCGACGTCGCCGCGCGGGGGCCGCTGCCTGGCCCATCTCGGTGGTGCACGCGGACCTGTGCCCGGGCCGACTTCAACCTGATGGCGCCCGACATCCCGCGCCTGGGCGTACGCGCTGTGTCAGCCCCGCCTGGCCCGGAGGCGACGCGCACGTCGCCGGCGGAGCTGTACTTCCACTCCCACCTCCGCAGCTGCGCCGCCAGCGCTTCAGGGGCCTCTTGCACGGCGGCTAGCCCCCTCGGCGGCGCCATGCCCCTGGCTGCATGGCCGGAGGCGCCGGCGGCGGTCGCGATCCCGCTGAAGAAGATCTACCGCATGTTTTGGCCGGTCCTTTCGATGACGATCGACGGCGCTTACTGTCTCGTGCACCCTTTGCCTGGACTGCTCGTCGCCGCCCTCGGGTGGGCCCCTCATGCGTTCGCCAGCGCGTGCTTGGCCGAGTCCTTTCACGCCACCCTGGGCCAGACGATCCCCCGCGCGGTCGACCCAGCCTTGGTCTTGGCGGCCTCCTGCGCGTCCGCAGTCCCAGTGAAATTCTTGGCCTTCGGGGCGGCGGTGCACGGGGCTCCCCTGCAGCGCGTCCTGGCCGGAGTTTGCGGCGCCGCTCTACTTGGCGATGTTCATTTTCCACGGGTTGTGTGCATTTCCATCGCGACAATTATGACAGTTGCATTGAGCCCAGGATGGTATTCCACACATTTGTCTTCGCCAGCGGCATGGGTAGGACACATTGCCTTGCTCGTCCACGCCGTGCAGTCCCCAGCTTTCCCCGCAGGCCCCAATGCCGACGTGTGCGACTCGTGCCTCTTCGAGCGCCAGCGCTGCATCTGCCGCCGAGGAGCAGGGAATCGAACAGGACCTCCGGAGCGCGACCGCTCCACCTCGCCTCGACGAGTGGCGCCGCCGCCTGGGTCGGCAAGCGCATCGAGTGCGGGCCCCGCGCAGATGGAGACGGAGGCCGCGGTGTCGGTCAGGAACACCTTCGTGGAGGTCGGCGCCCGTGCTTCTCCGGGACGCCGCGCGCTCAGACGCAACCGCACGGAAGGCGATGAGCCCGGCGACGATCCTCTCCTCCACGAGCGAATCAACAGCATGCGCCTGGACGACACGCGAGACATGGACCAGGATGCGGGCGTGCCGCTGGCCGAGCAACGTCGGCGAGCAGCGCTGGAAGGAGCTGCCCCCTCGGGCGCCCAGCAGCCTCTGGCCATGCCGGCAGAGGGGGGACCCCGGCACGCTGCGGAGCCAGCCGTTGCTGCCGCGCCGCCGCCGGCCGCGGAGCCGCCGCAGCCAGCCCCCGCCGCGCCCCGCCCTGCAGCCCGACGGCGGCCCCGCGTCTACTGCCCAGTGCCCGGTTGCCCGCGCGCGGATCCTGCCGCCTCGCCAGGGTGGTCCTGCCAGGAGAGCATGAGGGTCCACTTAGACGAGCACGCGGCGGGCCGCTACCCCAACCTGCCGCCCGTCCCGCAGGAGTTCCTTGACCAGCACGCCCTCGGCCAATGCTCGGTGTGTCAGCGGTTCCTGAGTCTGCGCTACCAGGGAGCGTGCCCCAGGTGCCGGCCAGCGGCGCGCGCAGCGGCCGCCGCGGCCCCCCAGGCCCTTCCGGCCGACGCTGGCGACGCGAACGGCCAGCCAGGGCTCCCTTCGCTGAGGGTGGTCTTCTCCAGCCGCGCCGGCACGAGGCGCCACGTGCCCAGGGGGGCCAGGGCGTTGTGGGCACAGTGCTTGGTGCAGGCCGTGGCGTTGGCGGTCCACCACAACACCGAAGCAGCTTGGGTCCAACTGGCCATGCTGCCCAAGTGCGTGCTGCGACCGCACAGCCGCGGAGGCCGAGGCAGCCGGAACGCCAGCGAGGAGGAAGCCAAGAACCTCTGCCGCCGCTGGCTGGAGGGAGAGCGCCAGACGCTGTGGGCGGAGACGACAGAGCGGCGCCAGACAGGGGGAACGGACAAGGCGACTCACCGAGCACAGCGCTGCCTCGACTTGGCTTCGGAGGGGCTTTACTCGAAAAGCTGCGCTTCGCTGACGTCGGAGCCGCCCGTGTCCGTCACGCCGGCTGTCGTGGACCAGATGGGCCGCAAACACCCCCGCAGCCAGCAGCCGGTTGTGGACCTGGCTAGCCTGCCTGCTGTCCACGCGGCCGCCGCAGCCCAGGTCGACGTCTCTGTCGTCCAAAAGGAAGTGCGGGCCTTCCCCAAGGGCTCGGCCGCCGGCCCCACTGGCCTGCGCCCGCAACACCTGCAGGACGCCCTGGCGACGGCAGCCCACAGGGACGAGGTAGTCGAGCAGCTCGCTGGCCTCGTCAACGTGCTCGCGCGCGGCCAGGCTCCGGCGGTGGTCGCGGCTTACTTGGCGGCCTCCGCCCGGTGGCCGTCGGCGAGACACTTCGCCGCTTGGTGGGCAAGTGCCTCTGCAAGGAGGTCGCCGCGGCAGCCCGCGACCGCCTTGCGCCCTTGCAGGTGGGCGTGGCCGTCCCGGGAGGCGCCGAGGCGGCAATCCACGTGGCCAGGCAGTGGTTCAGGCGCAACCTGGGCGACAGGGACAAAGTTTTCGTGAAGTTGGACCTCTCGAACGCTTTCAACACCCTGGACCGGAGGGCCGTCCTCAGAGCAGTGCACGAGGACTTTCCCGCACTGGCACCTTGGGCGGACTGGTGCTACGGCAGCCCCTCGCTACTCTTCCTCGGCAAGCAGACGCTGCGCTCCGAGTGCGGTGTCCAGCAGGGCGACCCGCTTGGCCCGCTGCTCTTCTCCCTGGCACTCCAACGCTGCGCGGAGACGGCGAGCCGCAGCCTCAGGGAGCTTGCCCAGGACGCCGGCCTGGACCTCGTCTTTTTCTACCTGGACGACGGCTGCGTGGCGGGTGACAGACAGGCTGTGGCGCGCTTCCTCCACCTCGTCGTGGCCGAGCTCGCAGCAGTCGGCCTCGACCTCAGCACGGGGCCGGGCAAGTGCGAGGTGGTCCCTTCAGCGGGGGCGGACAGCAACGCGTCCGCGGCGGATTTCCCACCGGGCTTCCGACTGCGCCCCGACAGCTGCTTTGAGCTCCTCGGCGCGCCCATCGGGAGCGACGATTTCTGCCTCCAGCACACGCAGAAAAGAGTGAAGAAGGCAGCGGAGCTCCTGGGCGCACTGGCCGGCTTGGAGGACGCGCAGGTAGCCCTTCACCTTCTCCGGCAGTGTGCCTCCTACTGCAAGCTCGGCTACTCGGCGCGCGTGGTGCCGCCCTCCGCCCACACCGAGGCTCTCCTGGAGATGGACGCTGCAGTACGCTCCTGCCTGGAACAGCTGGCCGGCGCTTCCCTCACCGACGACTCCTGGGCCCAAGCGCAGCTGAAACTGAACAAGGGCGGCTTGGGGCTGCGCTCCGCTGAGAAGCACTCGCCGGCGGCCTACTTGTCCTCGCGCGCCAAGAGCAGCGAGTTCTGCCGGTCCATGTACGCGGGCTACACAGACGACGACGCGGGCGACGCCGGGGCCCTGGCGGCGGCGCTCCAGACCCACAACGCAAGTGTGGCGGGGGCAAACCAGGCTGCGCGCTTCGACTGCGAGACGCACTCCAACCAGAAGACTCTCTCGGACCAGGTCGACGACGCCGCGCGCGCCGCCCTCTGGGGCCGCTCCTCGGCCGCGACGCGCGCCCACCTCGCCCTGGTGGCCGCGCCCGGCGCCAGCGCGCACCTGCAGGCGCCCCCCAGCGAGGCGCTCGGCACAGCGGTCCCGCACAGCTTGATGCAGATCGGGATCAAGCGACGGCTCCGGGTCCAGCTGATGGACGAGGAAGCGTTCTGCCCAGCGTGCGGGGAAGTCATGGACGTGCACTGCGACCACGCCTTGACGTGCGCCTGCCAGGGCGACCGCACGCGCCGCCACAACAAGCTGCGGAACGGCACCTTCTTTGCCGCCCAGGCCGCTGGCTTCTCGGGGGCGGAGCTGGAGCGGCCCGGACTGCTGCCGCCGCGGGCGCCGGGCGAGGGGCCGAACGCCGAGGGGCCCGACGGCGACGGACTAGACAACGACGGCCGCCGGCCAGCGGATGTCTATGTCCCCCGGTGGCGCGGCGGGCTCTCGGCGGCCTTGGACTTCGCGGTGACGTCCGGCCTGCGCGCGGACCTCATCGCGCGCTCCGCCGCTGACCCGGCCGCCGCCCTCGACAGGCACGAGGAGTACAAGCGGCCGCACCAGGGCACGGCGCAGGCTTGCCGCGACGCGGATCTCGCCTTCATCCCAATGGTGGTGGAGGCGCACGGCGGGAGCTGGGGCGGCGAGGCGCGGCGCGCCTTCGCCGTGCTGGCTAAGCGCGCGGCTGACGCGCGCGGCGAGGAGGCCGCCAGCACGGCGGACAGGATGGCCCAGCGACTCTCCATCTCCCTACACAGGGAGAACGCGCGGGCCATCCTGCAGCGCCTGCAGCGCCCGCGGCCCGGGGCGACCCCGGCACGCCTGGCGGCGGCGGCTGCAGTGGAGGCGGCGGCGGCGGCGGCCGTCGCGTGAGGCGCAAGGGCGGGCGGCGGGCGCCGAGGGCGACGAGGCGAGGGGGGGCGACCAGGAGGAGGAGGGGTAAGAGGGGGAGGAGGAGCAGCAGGAGAACAACGACGACGCCAGGCGGAGGCAGCGGAGAGGCGCTGAGGAAGCCCCGCGGAGGGCGGCGACCAGGAGGAGGAGGAGGAGGAGGAGGAGGAGGAGCAGCGGCTGGAGAGCGACGGCGAGACCACGAGGAGGCAGCAGGGAGGCTGCGGGAGCCCAAAGGAGGCTGTCAGGACGACGGCCAGGAGGCAACGCAAAACGAGCGTCGAGGAGGAGGAGGAGGGGGGGGAGGACGAGGACGAGGACGAGCCGGTGGCCGGCGGCAGCAGGCCAGGAGGAGACCGCAGAGGCCCCCTGCCCGTCCAGCCAGGAAGGAGGAGCCCGCCGAGGAGGAGGAGGAGGCGCCGCGCCAGAAGCCGCCGCAGATGGAGAAGGCCCTGGAGCCGGCCGCTGAGGAGGAGGAGGAGGAGGGGGAGGAGGAAATGGAGCCTGTCAAGAAGTTCCTGGAGGACCCCAAGGCGTGCGCTGCGGCGAACCCGGTGGCTGCAGCGCCGGCGGCGGGCGGCGGCGGGCGGCGGCGAGAAGAAGGAGGAGAGGAAGGCCGCCAGGCCGCCGCCGGCGACCCAGGCGAGAAGACGACATCTTCTTGTGAGTGGCCCCTGCTTCCTCGCAATTTAATCAAGACCCCCGCTCCCACCAGAGAACCCTATGCACTTTATTCAGGAATTGTATTCTCGCCTGTGACTTCCAGAAGAGGCGGCAGAAGGGAAGCAGTGCGCTACCCCTGCCCAGGTTTGCTAATCCTTCGAGCATCGAGTTTCTGGACATGAGGTCGAATGCCCCGATTCCGCCTATGGAAACCACCGTGGCAGCCGGGTCACCCTGGGTGAGAGTCTGCACGAGGTGCGCCACGCATTCCGTGCCTGCTCGGGTCGAGAGTGCGAACTGGAAGGGGGCAGTCGCCTGCTCGACCTCTTCGCCCACTTGCTGCGCCAGCGTGCGGGCTACCAGCCGCCTGAAGACGTCGCCAGTCACGATGCCTCGCACCCTCCCGTTGCTCTTGCGCAGCGCCGTGAGGCGGCCGAGCCGGAGGGCCTCTGCCACGGGCAGAGGATTTCCGCCCTCGCAAGGAACGTGGCAGCGTGGTGCAGGAGGTCGCAGCAGTGCTCGTCGTCCAGCAGCGTCTGCAAGTGTTCTCCCGTCATCCCTGAGGGGCCCGGCGCAGCGCCCCGGCGACTCCTGCGCACGTTCGTGAGGAGGCGGTCTGGTTCCAGGCTGGCGAGGCCTTGCGGCGGCGCGCGGGCGGCTCGCTCGCTGAGCTGCTCTCTCGGCTGCTGCAGGCGGCGTGCCGGGTCCCGGAGTTCGTCCAGAGTGGCCTGTGTGCCTGGTGCCACCGCGCTCGCTGTCAGCGCTTGCCGCGCCGCCGAGACCTCGGCGAGGCGGATCAGCTCGCGGGCCCTCTCGCAGCGGCTGCGGAGCTCCTCGTTTTCGTCTGGCGCCAGGCCCCGTCGTGCCTCGGGCGCCCTGCTCTGCCCGTTCGCGTCTCGCTCGGGCGGCCTGCGCGGCGGGCCCGGCTGTGCTTCTGTCAGAAGCTGCGCCCAGTCTCCAGCCTCGAAGCGGGTGAACCTCTCCAGGAGTTGCTCCTTGGGGATCCTTTGCTGCCCCGCCTCTCTCCTCAAGAGCAGTCGTGGGAGCAGGAGGAACAGCTTCCACCCTCTCGCTGCTCCTGTCTCGTCTGCTTCGCCCTCTCGGATCAGCTCCAAAGCTTTGCGCAGGGCGTTGCGGAACGGCCCCCGCGCGAACGCTGGCGCCCGTTGGAGGGTTGGCACGCGGGCCCGGAGCACAGATGCTGCGTCTGTCGCGTCCAGCGCTTCCCTCTCTGCCGCCGTCAAGCGAGCGCGGGCGTGGGCGGGGCGGCGCCCCAGGGGCGCCCGGGGAGGAGCAGCTCGTCCCGCGCCCCCGTCTCGGCGGGGCTGGGCCAGCGGGGCGGGCAGCGCGGGGCCAGAGTTGCTGGAGGCGCTGTCCTCAGTGTCCTCCTCGCTCTCGCTGGCGGTGCTGCTGCTCGAGCTGCCTCCTCCCCCTCCCCCCCCTCCTCTGGTGCCTCTTCCTCTTCGGCCCCCCCTAGCGCCTCGCCCTCTGCTTTCTCTGGCGCCTCTTCCTCCTCTGCCTCCTCGGCCTCTGCCTTCTCCTGGGCCCCCTCCGCTGGCGTCGTCGCTGGGCTGAGGTCCTGCTGGCGCCGCTGGTGGCGGCCTCGGCGGGCGCGGCGCGGCTGCGGCCCACCTGGCCGGGTCGCGGAGCTCGTCTGCGCGCCGGTCGACCCCCCGCGCCAGCACGACCCCCCCGAAGAGCTCGAGCAAGAGGTCTTGGGCGAGGTTGTCGATGTAGCCAGCGCTGTCCGCCAGCGCTCTGACCGCAGGCGGCAGGTGCACGTGTCCAGGGCGCGCTCCGCCCCCAGCGGCGATCACGGCATATATCGCCCCTGGGCTGGCCCCTGCGAACTCCAGCCCTTGGGCGAAGGTCTCGGCTGGCACGGGGTCCGCTTGCTGCAAGGCCTCCACTGTCGGCTGCCACCAGTCGTGCGTGAGCGGGTGCGTGCTCCATCCCGCCGCCTCCTGCTGGTCAAGCAGCCCCGCCGCTGCTCATAGCAAGGGCACGTACACGCGTGAGTTGGTTCGTTCTCGTAGTGGGCCCGCCAGGGGAGGCCATCCGGCGAAGCGGCCAGGCTGCCGTTGCTCTGCGGCGGTGGGCGCCTGTTCGGGGCGCGCCTGTCGAGGGTCTCCTGCGTCTGCTGTTGTCGCGGGCGGCGACGGAGGGGCGGCGACTGCTGGCTCCGGAAGCGGCGTGGCGGCGCAGCCCTCGCAGAGCCAGGCCCCGTGCCATCTCCACGACCCCCCTGTGGCCCTGGCGGCCCTGGCGACCCACTCGATTGGCCCTGGCCGCCCGCAGGGGCAGCGCGGCGGTCTCGCGCCCTGCGGCGGCGAGACGTCGCTACCCAGGGGGGCCACGTCGCAGGCGCGGCATTCCCAGCTGCCCGCCAGCCCGCTGGGCCCGCGAGAGTGCCGCCACCGCAGGGGTTGGAAATGTCGCGGGCAGACTGCGATGGCGCGCGGCGCGGGCCCTCCTGGCTGCTCAAGGGGTCCTCCTGCGTAAGGGTCCGCCTCCTCCTCACTTGGCGGGCCGGCCGCGGCTCGGCAGCGTGAGCACCTGCACCCTCGGGTGGGGTAGTCTCCAGAAGCGTCCAGGGATCCCACGAAGCCCGCGAGCGCCGCCACGCCACCCGGCGAGTCCCCCCACGGGCTGTTGCAAAGGGGGCATGGCGACCTTTCGGCACGGGATGCGTCACCTGTGTGGTACAAGTGGGCCAGGCCCGCCCGTGTCGGCCGATGCCTCGCTGCGCGCGCTGCGTGGAAGCGGTGGGGGACACGGCCGCAAGCTGGCCACGTCACGGTGTCCCCTTCGAGCGGCGTCTGGCAGATGGCGCATTCCTCCCTGTCTGGCCGGTCTGGCCCCATGCTGTTGCTGCGGTGGCTGTCGCTGCTCCTCGGCCGCCTCGCGCCCTGCTGGCGGCAGGGAGAGGCCCGAGAAGCCCCGCCGCCTTCCCTCTGGTTCAGGGGGCGCTGCCGGCCAGGCGCCGAAAATGCTGGCGAAGTGGTTCAGCTGCGGTGGTGGTGGCGGTGGTGAGGCCGACCGCGCGCCCGCTCGCGAGTCTGGCGCGGCAAACCCTTCCGGCGCCGACAGCATGTGCGGCGGCGTCTCCGCGAGCGCTGGTACCGGGGCAGACTCTCCCGATCTGCGTTATGGCGTGCCCGGCGGCTCGTCGGCTGGCCCGGGGGGGCCTGGGTGGCTGGCTTCGCCGACCCGTTGTCCGCGGTAGCCGTAGAGCGCCTCCCGCGGACTCCTCGCCAGTGCGCACTGCTCCTGTCGTGGTGGCGGTGCTTGTGCTGGCGCTGGTGCTGGTGGCGGCGCTGTCGGTCGCTGTCGCGGTGCTGCTGCTGGTCGCTGTGTTTGCGGTGGCGTTGGTGTTTCTGCTGGTCGGTGTCGCAGGGTGTCGTTGTGGTGGTTGCCCTGCTGCTGCTGCTGCTGCTGCTGCTGCTGCTGCTGCTGCTGCTGTGTGGTAGCGGTGGTGGTGGTGGTGTTGCTGCTGCTGCTGCTGCGGCTGCGGCTGCTGCGGCTGCTGCTGCTGCTGCTGCTGCTGCTGCTGTCGTCGTGGTGGTGCCGCTGCAGCTGGTCGCAGTGGCGACGCTGCCGCTGGTGATGGTTGTCGTGGTGGTGGTGTTGCTGCTGATGTTGCTGCTTGTCGTCGTCGTTGTGCTGCTGCTCGCGGCGCCACTGTTGGGAGTCGTGCCGCCTTTTGTGGTCGAGCATGTTGTCGCGTTGCTCCTGTGGGCTTGCTGCACAAGCCGGGGCGCCACCGGGGACCGCAGCGGAGCCGCGCGAACCCCGATGGGGAACTGGCCCCAGGGGAGTCCTACCGTGGGAATGGGGCTCTTCCCCTGGGGGGCACGGGCTGCAGCTGACGCCAGCCCCCTCCCTCGGAAGGGGCTGGAGGGCTGGCGGCCAGACGGCTGGAATGGCCGTCTGGGGCGGCGGAGGGCCCTGCTGGCTGCCACTGCTGCTGCTTTTGCTGCTGCTTTAGCTGCTGCTGCTGCTGCTGCAGGGAGCTGCCATCCGCAGTCGTTGGCTGCGTGCTGTGGTGCTGTGGTGGTGCTGGTCGTCACTGTGGTGCTGGTCGTTGGGTGCGTGCTGTGGCGCTGGTCGTTTGGTGCATACTGTGTTGCTGGTCGTTGGTGTTGGTCGCTGTGGTGCTGGTCGTTGTGGTGGTTGCCCTGCTGCTGCTGCTGCTGCTGCTGCTGCTGCTGCTGGTCGTGGTGGCGGTGGTGGTGGTGGTGGTGGTGCTGCTGCTGCTGCTGGTCGTCGTGGTGGTGCCGCTGCAACTGGTCGCGTGGCGACGCTGCCGCTGGTGATGGTTGTCGTGGTGGTGGTGTTGCTGCTGATGTTGCTGCTTGTCGTCGTCGTTGTGCTGCTGCTCGCGGCGCCACTGTTGGGAGTCGTGCCGCCTTTTGTGGTCGAGCATGTTGTCGCGTTGCTCCTGTGGGCTTGCTGCACAAGCCGGGGCGCCACCGGGGACCGCAGCGGAGCCGCGCGAACCCCGATGGGGAACTGGCCCCAGGGGAGTCCTACCGTGGGAATGGGGCTCTTCCCCTGGGGGGCACGGGCTGCAGCTGACGCCAGCCCCCTCCCTCGGAAGGGGCTGGAGGGCTGGCGGCCAGACGGCTGGAATGGCCGTCTGGGGTGGCGGAGGGCCCTGCTGGCTGCCGCCGCTGCTGCAGCTTTTGCTGCTGCTTTTGCTGCTGCTGCTGCTGCTGCTGCCAGGGGGCTGCCGTCCGCAGTCGTTGGCTGCGTGCTGTGGTGCTGTGGTGGTGCTGATCGTCACTGTGGTGCTGGTCGATGGCTGCGTGCTGTGGCGCTGGTCGTTTGGTGCGTGCTGTGTTGCTGGTCGTTGGTGTTGGTCGCTGTGGTGCTGGTCGTTGTGGTGCTGTGTGCTGCTGCTGCTGCAGCTGCTGCTGCAGCTGCTGCTGCTGCTGCTGCTGCCGCCGCCGCTGCTGCTGCTGCTGCTGCTGCTGCTGCGGCTGCTGCTGCTGCTGTGTTGGTCGCTGTCGCGCTGGTCGCTGTGGTGTTGGTCGTTGCTGTGGTGCTGGTCAATATCGCCGCCGTGGTGCTGGTCTTGGTACTGTGTGCTGCTGGCGTGGTGTTGCTGGTCTCGTGGTCTTTCCCTCAGTGGTCGCTGTGGTGTTGCTGGCTGTGTTTGCTGCTCTTGGGGCTGCTGGTCGCCGCCGCTGTGTTGCTCGTGGTGCTGCTGCTGGCCGCGGTCGTTGTCTTCGTTGTGGTGCTGGTTGTTGGGTGCGTGCTGTGGTGCTTGTCGCTGGTGCTGGTCGCTATCGCGCTGGTCGCTGTGGTGCTGTGTGCTGCCGCTGTGGTGCTGGTCGCTGTGTGCGCGTGCAGTGGCGCTGGTCGTTGGCTGCGTGCTGTGGTGCTGGTCGTTGTCGTCGCCGTGGTGCCGGTTGGCGCGGTGCTGGTGTGGTCGCTGTCGTGGTGGTGTAGCTGGTGGGGCTGGCAATGCCGCGGGTCGTAGTTGTGAGCAGGGCCTGCCGTGTAAAGCAAGGCGGAATGTAGCACAGCAGCTGGCCCGGTCGATTTCGCCACAGTTCTTGTCATGTGTGCATGGCTGTCGTGGCGGTGGTGCTGCTGCCGTTGTTTTTCGCCGTCGTGGCTGTGGCGGTGCAGCTGGTGCTGCTGGTGCTGCTGGTCGCCGTCGTGGTGCTGCTCGTTGCTGTCTTGGTCGCCGTCGTGGTGGGCGCCGTGGCGGGCGTCGTCGTAGTTTTCTTTCGCCTGTGGCCGCAGTTGGGTGCTGGCTGCTGTCGCTCTGGTCGCTGCGGTGCTGCCTGCTCTCGCAGCGCCCGTGGCGAAAGTGCGCTCTGGTCACGAGCGGCGCGCCCTCGCCGACACCCGCCCGCGCCATCTCACGGTCAGCGTCCTGTCGCCGGTGCGGGCGCCGGAGCTGAGAGTGCCCATCCCCTTCATGGGGCGCTGGCTGTCCTGGCTTGGCCTCCTGGTCGCGGCGGCCCTCGCCATGCCTTCTCCTGCCGCCCTCCTGTGCCTCCTCACGCGGCTGCTGTGCAGGCGGGCTCTGGCGCTGTCGCTGCCGCTCCTCGTCTCGTGTCGCCGCGCCCCTGGCTGCGGCGAGTGCCTTCCGGAGCTCGCTTTGCGCCCGCCTCGCGTCGAACCTCGCGGCCAGGCAGGCACGCCGACGCTCGAAAGCCGCCGCCTGCTCCACGAGCGCGTCGTGCTCGGCGTACGCGGCCTCGAGGGCACTGGCCGCCAGCCGCCGCGTGGCTCGCCGGCGGCCGCGGCGAAGGACCCGGCGAGCGTAGGCCGCCCGGCGCGGCGCCCTCTCGTTCGCGCCTGCCCCTTGCGGCGCCTCGTGGTCGCGTTGCGCCTCCTTTGCCTCCTCGTGCTGCTCTCTCGCCTCTTCCTCCTCGGCCTCGTCAGGTGCGTCGCCCGGTGCTGGCGCCGAGCGTCGCGGTTGCTGCTCTGGCTGTCGCGCCTGGCCCCCGAGCGGTCGCCTCGGGGGCCCTCGCCGCACCGGCGTCCAGAGGCCAGGCGGCGGACCCGGGTCGGGCGGCGACGGCGGCCCCACGCCGCTTGTCCAGGAAGCCCCCAGGGGGGCCCCCAGACCCTTCGTGGACCGGGCCTTCCTGGTTGGACCCTGGCGGTGTCCACCCCCAGGGGGGTCATGTCTGCCAGGGTCGGGCCGTCGCGTCGTGGCGCCAGGGCTGTCGTAGTCGCGTTGCTGGTGCTGGTGCTGGTGCTGGTGCTGCTGTTGCTGGTGCTCGCCGTCGTTGCCCCGCCGCTGGTTGCGGTGCTGTCGCTTGTGCTCGTCTTCGTCTTGGCGGTGGTGCTGCTGCTGGTGCTGCTGGTCGCCGTCGCGGTGGTGCTGGCGGTTGCCGTTGTGGTGGCGGCGTTGCGGGGCGCCGTCGCGGCGGCGGCGGTGCTTCTCCTTTGCCGCTGCCGCCTCCTCCTCCTCCGCCTCTGCCGCCTTTTCCTCCTCTTCCTCCTCTTCCTCCTCTGCCGCTCTGCCTCTGGCCCTGCTCGGCGTCGCCCTCTGCCGTGCGCCTGGCCTCCCTTCAAAAGCGGTGGCCGCCCTCCCTGTGCAGCCTCTGCCTCTGTCGGCCTGCCTGGCGGGGCGTCGCCCCGGCAGCGGGGCCATCCCGGCGGGCGCCGCGGGCCGGCCCGCCGCCCCCGCCCCGCGCGAGCGCCCGGTCAGTTTGGCGGCTCTTTCTGGCCCGTCCTCGGCCTCTGGCGCGGCCGTGCTGCTGGCTCCGCCTGCGCGTCGCCCCCCCTCCTGCTGCGCCGCCTCTGCTCCCCCCGAGCGGCTGCGCGGCAGGTCGGCGTGCAAGCTCCTGCCCGCGGGCCCGGGCGAGGGCGCCATCGCGCGCAGGCCCGGCCCCCCCGGCCCTGCTTCTTTTCCTGGGCGGTTATCGGCCTGCAGCCAGCCTCCGCCATCAGGAACAGCACCCGTTTGCGGTATTCCGCCTCGCCCGCGTGGCCCTGCTGCTTGCGCCGCGCAAAGTCTGCCTCTGTAAGAAAGTCGCAGTCGCAGCGCTGGCACACGAGCGGCCCCGTCATGACGGGGCGGTCGGAGAAGACGCGCAGCTGGCCCCCCTCCACCTCGCCGCCGCCCCCGCGGGGGCGGCCGACGCCTTGCGCACCCGCTCCGCGCACCGCTGCGCGAATTCCGTGCGTTGCGCAGAGAGGCTGGGCACAAGCTCCTTGTAGGCGGCAAGGCGCCGCAGGATTGCCTTGGTCCGGATGCCGCTCTCGAGCATCAGCAGGTCCTGGTCGATCCTGTTCTGCGCCTCCTCAGCGAACCCTTCCATGGGGTCTGGCAGGCCCTCCGCCTCCACGATGCGAGTCTTTCTTGTGGCTTCGCTCTCCGCTTGCTTGAAGGCCTGGAGCTCGGCGTCCTGCTCCGGGGAGAACTGGTTGGCTTTCCGTGCTTTCCGGGCTTTCTCTGCCAGCTGCCGCTCTGCGAGGCTACGCCCGGCATGCTCCTTCGGGTGGCGGCCGAGGTCTCGCACTTGCTGCGTGAGCTCCTCGGTCTTCTGCTTCCGCTTGAGCTCCTCGGTCTCTGCCTGCTGATCAGCACAGCCCAGGGCCCGCAGTTCATGCAACATGTCTTTGGGGATGCGGTCGCGATGGTCCGGGAAACGTTTGGCCAACTTGTTTTCGGTCCGTTCTTGTTCGGACGCTCCTTTATTTCGCTTCGGTATCTGTGTATGGGGTTGAAGTACAAGGGCACAGAACCCCTGATCCGTTGGTAGAGGGGAGGAGGGAAAGATGGATATCTTTTCCTCCTGCACGATCAAAGGTCTGATCGATCTATCCCAATACCTGAGCCCAAACGGCCAGGCGCAGGAGAGGTGAGGATAAGGAGTATATATGAGGGTATTACACGGGTTCTATTCACACACCCCGCCCCGAATCCCGCCCGTCAGGATAGGACTCGGGAACAAAGGAAAATATCCCGTCACCCTTTTACTCCTCAAATCCGCAATTCTGTCAGGCAGCTGAGCACAAGATCTGTATAGCTTCAGCTGCTTCCCAATCGCGATAGCGCTCACGATTAGGCAAGGTAAGGTAAGAAGGGGCACCCAGGGTCCCTGTTTCTTCGCCAAGCACACGTTTGTGCCCCCTCGGTGCGCCCCCCAAAACGCTTCGGCACTCGAGGGCGGAGAAGAATGAGACACGGGTGGGCGGAGAAAGAGGATCTGAGCAAGTTAGAGCAACATCAAAAGCTGCCGCGCCTGAGCGGGGCAGGTGTTGCCACCAGCTCTCATTTGAGAGCTGGGCATCAGATCATTTTTCAACGCAATGTTGATATACTGCAAATAAGAAGGAACATTGAGATGTGTACTATGAAGTCATGTTGAAGAACACGATCGCGTTGAAAACACGTCTAATCATCAAAGCAAAATAGGTACGGCCGCACGTAAAGTCGTGTTGATAAGCACGAAAAGCTGCATAAACAAATTCTGCATGTCGTTACTCCCCTCGGCGTTGCTCCTTAGGAGGCTGCCTTGGGTTTCACAAGGATAGGTGTGGCCACTCTTCTTGGATAGTGAAGTGGCCTAAAATGATTTTTAGCCACCGCTCGAGGCGAACTTGTGCAATGATCAAGTTCTAGCCGATCGAGCGGTGGGCCTGGCGGCCGACTACATTACGCGTTACCCCTCTCGTAGAACATGTGGTCCCACATCCTGTGGCCATCATGCGAGACGTAGCTCGTCGTGAAGGTCTCCCAGGGCGTCCTCGGGACCCAGTGGCGGAACCAATTATTGCACTGGATGTCGCGTACGTATACGAACTCGTCGTTGTTGTCCGTGCTGTACATCCAGCAGTTGATGTAGTAGCTCCAGTATATGAGGCCCCATTGGCTGTCCTCTAGGTTGTCGCGCCACCATGTAGCGTAGTCCTCCGTCGTGCGCGCCCTCTTGGCGCGAGGAGGTGTCGCTGGTCTGCGGCCGTCGTCGCTGTCCTGCCGCTGCGCGGCAGCGCCGCGCTGTCCAGCGGGCATGTAGTCCTGCGCGCCAGAGGCGCTGGACCCTGCAGCGTCGCCAGGAGCAGGGCGCGGCGGCGGCGGCGGCATGGCTCCATGGCATCATCAGAGTGTGGGGAGTGTATATCAAGTTCGATCGGATCGGTTCTCATCCTTGAATCAACCCCCCTCTGGTCAGCGGAACCCAAGGCGGGCTCACTGGAGGCAAGCACGGCAAGCTCGCGCTGCGTGACTCTCTCACGAGTGCCATCCCCTCTGGGAAGGGCAATCGTGACAAGTCCGCGCGCCTGCCTCGTGCCTCGATCGAGTCTGCCTGCGTTCAACCACCATTTCTTCCGACCGGCATGGCCAGTCCTGACGCTGCGATCGAGAATACCACAGGCATCTCGCACATCCTCGATGGTATAAGCCTTCTTGCCTTTATTGATGCGAGCGCCTGTCATTTGGTGGTGGAACTTCATATCATTCAGGCGCTGAACGATGTTGGCAAAAGGGTGGTATAGAGGTCTGTCGTCCTCACGCTCGCCCATCAACCTGCACATGTGTGCAGGAGGGGAGCCTGCGGCGACCCACTTCGGATACCTCTTCTTAGCAGAATTTGCCAATCTCCTCAGCGTGTCCTTCTCATGACTTGGAATGGAGCGCTTACCCATCATCAGGACCTGCGCTCCGTCTGCCATGTACCTCGCGATGTCGTCCTGGGAGAGCGTCGTCCTGATCCAGTGGGCCAACTTCTGGAGGTGTGCCAGGTCGCTCTCGACGGCGGTACTTTTACCCGTAGCACCTACGGCAACAGTGCACTGCCAGCAGATATCACAAATGGTACCTTCATCTGTAGCGATCCCTAGAGACAAGAAACGATCGCAATTCCGACATCGCACGATATCATGCTGGATATCCTCTGGGGCCCCGTTAATCGTGAGGTGCTCACGGGATCCCCAGCGAGTGTCACGACCACTAGCGAGAACGCGGCCGATCTGATCCATGGCATCGCGGTTGATCTCGGCGGCCGGACGGGAGGCGATCGATCGGCTCATTCCCTCGATCTCGATCCTAGACAATCTTTCCCCTGGCAGTCCTACGCGCTCGGTCGTGTCGTTGTCCTGTCCGCGTTGTCAGTATCACCATGGCATGCGTTTTCTGTACGGATACGGTTAGCCTCTTCCTGCAAGGCGGACTCGTTGTCGCCCTCTTCTCGGTCGATCCTCTTCTGCTGGGCTATGATCCGTACCATGGTTTCTTGATCTGGAGCTGCGGATGCAACGCTTCCTGGGCCCTGGGGAATATCCTGCTCCGCGCCTGGCTCCTCCTGGTGCGGCGCGGCCGGTGTTTCCACCAGCTCCCTCCATACGGGGAAGCCTGGGTTGCCAAATGTCTGGATACAATGTGTAAATAGATCACGCAACGTCTTGAGTGCAGGATGGTCCTGATGAGTAGCATCTTTAGTGAAATCACGTAGCTCCGTAATGCTGTCCAGCAATATGATTTGGTACACTTTAGAAATCCATTGAAAGACGCCTGTAGTCGATTCCTCGATGACCTCTGGGCCCAGGTAGTGTACCATCTTGTTGAAGAAGCTATCCGCACTGCAAATCGGTAAGTCACGTGCCCATTTGTGGGTATGATCGTAATCCAAATAGTATGCCTCTGAATTCTATGTTTTGGGTCCAAATTGTAGGTCGAATCGTAAGTATGACTGTATTTTATCCACCACAATCTTGTCCCTGCCAGTATGCACCTCAATGATTTGTTTCACCTTTATCATAGGTGAGTCCACCGATAACTCCGACGTCCAGTGGTATATGCGGTGGTCGTAGGCTTGCTTGATCCACCCTGTACCCTCCTCTGGGTCGTAGTCGGGATGGTTGAGGAGGTCCTCTGGCGGGTCGATGATGTTATCGAGGATGCTTGAGCCGACGTCCTCATCAGCCTGGATCTCTGCTGATAAATCTGCCCTCATGTTGTCATTCGCTGTTCCCTCTTCGTCTGTGAGTGGGATGTTCGATA